GCTTAACCAACTGAGCCACCCAGGCGCCCCTTCACAGCCCTTTAAACACATAAAAACCCTTCTTAGCTCCAGGGCCATACGAAACCAGGCCGCTGGCTGGACTTGAGCTCCGGGCTGTGGTTTGTGGACCCCTGGCTTAGAGGGGGGCATGGGGCACTTTGTGGGGCAGCCAGCACTTTGCGTCGTTGCAGCCGGAGTCAGGAGGGGCTGGTCGGGTGGCACAAAGCCGGCTGGGAAGGAATCTGACAGCCACACTTAAGAGCTCGCAGCAGGTTATATGTCAGTTATGGCTCAGTGAAGCCGGAAAAAAGCCAAAAACGTATTTCAGTGTGAAAAAGAAAAAATAACAGAAGTATTTGCAGCAGGGCCAATGTTTCTCAAACTGTGTTCCCCAGAGGAGCTGTGGGAGGCCGGGAACAGGTCAGGAGCCCCCATCCTTGCTTGAACTAGACTAATCTGCTTTGTTCTGTTTGTTTGTTTGTTTTTTTAATGTCATATTTTCATATTGGGTTTTCATGTTTGACGAAAGGGGCTCTGCGGAGAAAGATATTTTGGAAAACCGCAGATCTGGGCAATGAAGTCCCATGAGTCCCATATTGTGAAGCTTTATGTGATACATGACAGTCTTCCTCCCCCTGGGGAGGAAATGGGGAGACATGACATGCGGGATAGTAGCCAAGAGAAAAGGCTGATCTCTCACCAGGGACCAGACTGTGTGATGAGGAAGGAGAAGCTGTCGAGGGCTGGAGCAGGTGGGAAACTTGAGTGTTGGAATCTTTGAAGGATGAATGGGAGGGGGCAGGTGGACAAGAAGGCAGTCCCGGCTGGGAATGATGGCATTTTCCAAAATCCCAGAGGAGGGTCTGAGTGTCGGGAGAGAACAGACCCACCTCCTGCCTCCTTCCTGGGCTTGGCGGTGGGGAGGGTGAGGCCCAGGCAGAGGGCTTTTGATGGCTCCACTGAAGCCTTTGACCTTGATCCAGTAGACAATAGGGAGCTTTCCCTTGTTCTTCAGCTGGGGAGGCATAAATGAGAGTGGGGTCTGCTCTAGCTTATGCCTGATGGATATGAATGAGGGGGGCCCAGAGCGGGCATCTATGGGAGAATTGCTGATATGTGGGAAGTGCAAGGGGCCAGGAGGACGTGGTGGTCCCAGGGGAATAAGGAGGATGGGAGCAGCTCTAGGAGTTGGCCACAGGAGAGGGAGGAAGGGGGGGCAGGGAAGAGCCCACATTTGAGCTGGGGGCTGATGATGTGTCTCTGGCAGAAACTGGGGAGTAGGGCCGGAGAGGGAGGATGTATCAGGTAGGGGCCCCGCTGGATTTGGGGTGATGGTACAATTGGCACTGCCCAAGAGTTGACTGGAGGATGGGTGTGGTCATGCTGGGGCACAGAGTGGGACGATGGAGGGAGCTGCTAGATGGGCAGAGGGTGGGCAGCAGGAGTGAAAGGCCAGGCTCCGCGTGGGACAGAGGAGAGGGTGCAGGTAAGGCTGGGGATGAGGGGCAGATACGTGCACATGGGAGTGGTCCAGAAGCCTTGGGTTTGGCAGCTGGGAGATGAGAAGAGCCCACGCCTCGGGCCAGGAAGTGATGGGGCAGGTGGGCAGGAGCTGCAGTGGGAAGGGGTGGGTATGCACTGAAGCGCATTCGCTGGGCCTTAGCCAGGAAAGAAGCATGGCCGGAGCTGGGGGGGCAGCTGGCCCAAGTCAGGGCCCAGAATGTGGGCATGCCGAGTGTGTCGGGTGTGTAGTTTTGTCTCAGACATCAGTTCTGTCCTTTGTCGTGGGGACTGCTGGAAGTTAATTTTTTTTTTTTAATTTTTAAAAAAGATTGTATTTATTTATTTATTTGAGAGAGAGTGAGAAAGCATGAGCAGGGGGAAGGGGCAGAGGGAGAAACAGACTCCCCGCTGATCAGGGAGCCTGATGCCCAGGACCCTGGGATCATGACCTGAGCCGAAGGCAGATGCTTAACCAACTGAGCCACTCAGTTAAGTATTGTGGGCAGGGTGACTGTAACTCCTCCTGAGCCTGAGGGGAGGGTATTGTTTGTGGGATGGTGTGGCATTAAGCTGTGGACCCACTGTACAGAGCCTGTATGTTGTGGAGCTGTATGTCTTTGTGGAGAGCCTTACCTTGTGTTGTGGGCCTGAGTTACTCGGAGCCGTTCCTGTCAAGGCTGTTACCCTTGACTTTGTGCAGGGTGGTGGTGCCCCCTGGTGGTCAGAGGGGGCAACGCCCCGGCCATGCTTCATTCGATCTTGCGTTCAACAACCCATTTATTTAGAACAGGGTTTCTCAATCTTTTTTTTTTTTTTTTTTAAAGATTTTATTTATTT